AGACTCCCCCAAGTCTTATTCCTTTAGAGCAACAACTTCACATCCAGGATGTTATGATCTAAACAGATCCATGTACAGATGAAACTTCTCAGGTATAGTTCCTTAAGTACAATCCTCTGAGTATAATTTCTCCCAAAGTGAAGACCTGGGAACTAAAGTGACAACTTATCTGCCCTACACATACCCCAAATACAAGGACAGGATAGGCAGAGGAAAACCATCGTGTACAAAAGAAAATGGGAAGCACAATGGAATCACTGATCCAAAGTAATTCTGAAATCAAGGTAGAAACATCTTACAAGTTGTTTGAAGAGAACTTAGGACCTGGGAATAATTCTCCATGGCTCTTGGCTCTGGCCTTGGAGATTTGGTCTCTGATTTCTGAGTCACCCTTCCATTTTATGAAAGGCAGCCCATGTTTACATACATGTGTATAGAATGTTTTAACCTGCCTTCTACCAGTAGAATTTGGGGGATCTAAAGGGTCACTCTTCAGTCCAAGGTGGTGATACTTCTGCCAAAATAACTCTTTTGAAAACACTGTGGGTCTCTTGGATTCTTATTGGGGTTCACACCATTAAGACAAAAAAGCAGTCACAAATCTGAGATAAACTCTTCTCTACTTTAAATTTTTGCTAAGGGATACCCTAATCTGATAATAAGCCCTATCACTTTGATTGAAAGGTTCTTGGAGGCATACCTTAGATCTGTCTGAGGTCTTAAGAAAGGATTTTATAAATCACACACTTGGCTTCATCTTTAGACAAAGCTATTCTGAGAGTGCCCTGGATTTGATCTTTGCCTGGAAGCCATTTCCTAATTTTAGCATAGTTTGATATACTAAGAGGATGAGAATTTTCAAACCAGCGGGTCCTGGCTCCATTTTGTTTAGGAGCCCTTCCCTACCCTATTTACCGTAAGCAGAAAGAAGAAACCAAGCAACAGTTTTAACCTTTAGCTTGAAAATCTCCTTAGCTAGATCACCTAGCTCATTAGATACATTTTCTAAGGGCCACATTACTGCAAGTGACAGTGTTACTAACCTTTCTGCCAGTTTCCAATATGGTTTTCTTCATTTTCATTTAAGCCTTTACTGGCAGTCTTGTCAAAGGCTTGACATTAAGCTTTCCATCTACTGTCCAAGTTCAAAGTCTATCCCACATTTTAAAGTATTTGTTATAGTAGCACCACATTTATGGGTACCTAAATCTGTATTAGTAACAAATTACCCCCAAACCTAGACGTTTCAATTAACACTTAACATTTTATAATTTCTGCAGGTCAGGAATTCAATAACAGCTTACCTATTAATAGGTTCTAGCTCACAGTCGCCAATGAAGTTACAATCAAAACATCAACTACGGCTATAGTCATCCAAAGGTTTGTTTGGGAGTGAATGACCTGCTTCCCAGGTGGCTCACTAACACTGTTACTGTCACAAGACTTCAGTTCCTCACCACATAGACGTCTCCATTGGATTGCTTGAGTGTCATCTACCCAGGACAGTTGTCATTTTCTAGTACAGGTAACTCAAGAGAACCAGAAAGAAGCTACAATGTCTTTTATATCTACCCTTGAAAGTCACATTCTGTCACTTCTATCGTTAAGTCTCTTTGTGAAGAAACTACTAAGCATAATGTACACTTGGGGGAGGAGAATTAGATTCTATCAAAAGGAATATAATTTAATAATCTATTTTAAAAACACTACAGAATGTAAACCCAAGAATTAAAACTTTATATAAAAATGGCTCTTAGTAAAATTACATTTAAATGGAAGCCTACGGGGCGCCTGGGTGGCTCAGTCGTTAAGCGTCTGCCTTCAGCTCAGGTCATGATCCCAGGGTCCTGGGATCCAGCCCTGCATCAAGCTCCCTGCTCAGTGGGGTGTCTGCTTCTCCCTCTCCCACTTCCCCTGCTTGTGTTCCCTCTTTCGCTGTGTCTGTCTCTGTCAAATAAATAAATAAAATCTTTAAGAATAAATAAATAAATAAATAAATAAATAAATAAATAAATAAAAGGAAGCCTACTACTGCAGTCTCTACTGACATTGCATATTTTCTATTTTATTATGCAAATAAAAAACCAAGCAAGTGCTTTAGACTCTAATGAAGCTAAAAATATAAATAACTCTTTTAGGGGTGTGTGTGTGTAACATTTTGGACTGAGGGCACTGAAGATACCTTACTAGGAAGCAGCCACCCCAAAGAGCTAACAGAATAACTACTCTTGCTGCCTTTTGTTATATAGTAATTCTCTTCACTAGCCTCCTCCTCATCCTAACTTTTTTACTCTTTCGTCTGCTTCGGCAATAAATTTATTATTCCTCATTAATATCTTCCCCATTTTTTACTCTATACCAAAGCCTTGGCATATACAGTACTAGTAGCAAATATGATTATGGAAGCAATGGTTTTTTACAAAATCCACTGACTGTTATATGCACAGAGTATTGCAAACAATTGTGTCTGGTAGCAGTTCTTCCTTTACATGGTGTATAAAGAAATGAGGTGAAACCAAATCAGAAGAATATTAAAGTCAATAATAGCCATTATGTAACAGACAGTGTTGGTATGTGAAACTCTATTTTTTGAAACTGAATTTTAACCAAATTTACTTTCATCACAGGGAGCAATCCAAAAAATGTTTCCCCATTTCCAGCCTCATATTTTGATTGATACCAGAACAAAATGTAACTTCATTAAAGACTTAAGTAAAAAATATTATTTTCATTTTATTATTTATTTCTTTTATCGAATTAACTGCAACTCACTGTATTTTTAAAATAATAAAGAATCAAAAATAAAATAAAAAGATTCATATATTTAAACACAACAAAGGACTCTTAAATGTACAACAGGGGGACTGGTAATTAAGATACATCTACAAAAAAACAAATTACATAAAAACATTAGAAATCATAAACTTGAAAAAGTATTTAAGGACACAAATATATATTTGAGTGAAAAAAAGACTATAGTATAATATTACAATAACCCATGTGCATGCGCATTTATGTGTACGGAAAAAATCCCAAAGGCTATATTTAAAAATATGTATGGTGGTTATCATGGATGGTAGCATACATATGTTTTTTTCTTTAAAATTTGCTATATTTCTCAAATTTGCCAAAATAAAAACATTTTTATTTTCTGATTCTAAATGCATATAAGGGGCGCCTGGGTGGCTCAGTCATAAGCGTCTGCCTTCAGCTCGGATCATGATCCCAGCGTCCTGGGATCGAGCCCTGCATCGGGCTCCCTGCTCAGCGGGAAACCTGCTTCTCCCTCTCCCACTCCCCCTGCTGTGTTCCTTCTCTTGCTGTCTCTCTCTATGTCAAATAAATAAATAAAATCTTTAAAAAAAAATAAATGCACATAAAACATTTTGCCATGTCTTTAGGTTCCAACTATTTTTACAGTAATATGAATAATTCATTATTAATACTAGGTATACAGACAAATTTGGGTTCTTCTTTGTTCTAATATTATTGTCAAGTATTAATACTTACTGCATCAAACCTGAAAAATATGGAAAAGTTCTAAAAAGAAAGTCATGTAACTCAGAATCCCACAATCCAAAAGTAATAAACAAAAATATTTAACATTTTAGCGAAGTAGTGGTAACACCATATAATTTTTATTTTTATTACTCAGTATAAGCAAATTAATAATAAAATGTTTAATGGTTGCATGATAAAGACATACTTTAATTAATTCAGTCATTCAGGTTTTCCTAATATTTAAATAGCTTATTTTTTATTATTAATACTTTAAAAACACACACCCAAAAATCTGTGTATAAAAAAATCTTTGTGCAAGAAAAAACAAATGAACAAAAAACACTTTATGCATCTCTATTCCTTAGTATAAATTACTGGAAATTGGTTCACTAGATCAACAGGCATTCAGGTTTCTGTTTTTAAGGCTTTTTAATACATATTACCAAACTGCTTTCTAGAAAGAACCTACCAATCCACATTTTCTCCAGCACAGCATCAATCTGTCAATCTCACAGACAGACACAGTATGGGGCAGTGTCAATTTTTATTTTTTTTTATTTTTTAAAGATTTTATTTATTTATTTGAGAGAGAGAAAGAGAACAGGGAGAAGCAGAGGATGAGGGAGAAGGACAAGCAGACTCGGAGCTGAGCATGGAGCCCAGTGCATGGCTCGATCCCAGGACCATGAGATCAAGATCTGAGCTGAAACCAAGAGCCAGACTCTTAACCAACTGAGTCCTCCCAGGCACCCCTGGGGGGGTGTGTGTGTCAATTTTTAAGCCTTTCTTCATTTGGTAACTAAAAAATGTTAATTTACACTACCTGCTGCTTACCATTGTTCATATATGCTTATTAACAATTTGCAATTCCCTTTCTGTGAATTCTTTATACACGTACCTTGCCTATATGTGATGGTTAATTTTATTTGTCAACTGGGCTAGGCTATAGTGCCAAGCTATTCAGTCAAACACCAGTCTAAATGTTGTAGAGACATTTTCAGAAGTGACTAACATGTAAATCAGTATATTCAAAGTAAAGGAGATTACCCTCCATAAAGCAGACAGGTCTCATTCTGAAAAGACTTAAAGACTGGGGCCCCCCAAAAGGGAAGGAAGTCTGCCACGAGACTGCCTTAAAACTCAAAACTGAAATACCAAAGTGTGTCAAAATTGCCATACATGCCTGCCTACCTACCCTGTGCATTTCTGACTTGTCAGTCCCCACAATCACTCACCAATTCCTTTAAAAACAAACCAAAAAAACCAACCACCACCACCAACAAACCAACCTAAGGAAACCAAAAACAAACTCTCTATAACACATGCATACCTATATACATGCCCACACATCCTATTGCTTCTGTTTCTCTGTATTTCTTGACAAATACAGTGTCTGAGAAATTTTCTTACAAATTTACGTAAGTTGTTTATTTATTAAGGTTAGTGATATCCTCCTTATCCTTTATGTTCAGAAATTCCTTTTAAGGCAAACTACTTACTTGTAAGTCATCTTCTGTTCCTTCAGCTTCATTTTTAAATGTTGGGCATCCTAAGGAAACAGGTAGATGTTAATTAAGCAAAGAATTCTTGTCTTAGGTTTTAGTATTATTGAAAAATTGATTAAATCATTATAATACTGTAGAACTGATCAGAGATCATTCTGGGCTGCCTGGCAACAAGTCCGATGTTGGCCACTCATACCTGCCCCTTTGTTAGGAGAATAAAGTGATTGTTTTCCTTTTCTACAGGTATATTTCCAGTTATTTACCAAAGAAATGTTTTTTGTAGAAGTGTACTATCTCTAGTAAGCCCTACCCCTAATTTTTCTAAAATGCTCAAACTGCTAGGCAGGGTATACACATTACAACTCCCCTGGTGCTTACCCACATATGATTTATTCAATTTTCTAAATATTCTTACCCAGAAAACAGTATTTAACACCCCAAACGAAGATTTTAGGTACTTCTGTAAGAAAGAAAACAAATAGGCCTTAAACCCCTATTGACAGCCAACAGCCAGTTGTTGTTTTTGATCTTTGTGTATCAGTGTCTCTCTGTACATTTTCATGGTGTTCAGGAGTGCCTTTAGTTTCAATAAATTAATAAGGAAGGATGTCTTAGCAAAGTATTCTGAGTTTATGCTACCCTTGAGAGATACTAGCATGGAGATGAGGAGAAACCTGTCCTTCCGAAAGGGTTGCATAGTTTATTCTTATTGTCATGGAAGACTAAGTAAGAGAAATTTAATGGGATTGTTGAAAGTCTATACAGTGGCTGGTAATAACACTAACCAGTACGTTTTTTAAAATGTTCAAAAATAACAAGATTAGTACTATAGTCTATTCTACCTGGCAAGGAGTTCATAGGCTCCTCCACATATATAAACTGTCCTTTAAAACATGAAACCCAACCTATTTGATTCTAGTGAAAGAAGTATGCTTTTATGGAGACATGAGTATGGGCTTAAAAGTAGTAACACTTTAGGGAATGCAAACTAGTGCAGCCACTGTGGAAAACAGTATGGAAGTTCCTCAGGAAGTTAAAAATAGAATTACCTTACAATCCAGTAATCACACTACTATTTACACAAAAAAATACAAGAACACTAATTCAACGGGATATATGCACCTCTATATTTATTGCAGCATTATTTACAATAGTCAAATTATGGAAGCACCCCAAGCATCCATCGATAGATGAATGGATAAAAAAGAGGTGGTATACATACACAATGGAGTATTATTCAGCCATAAAGAATGAAATCTTGCCATTTGCAAGAACATGGATGAAACCAGAGAGTATAATGTTAAGCAAAGTCAGTCAGAGAATGACAGATATCATATGATTTCATTCGTATGTGGAATTCAAGAAACAAAACAAATGAGCAAAGGAAAAAGAGAGAGAGAGAGAGAGACAAACCAAGAATTAGACTCTTAACTATAAAGAACAAACTGACTGATGGCTACCAGAGGGGTGGTGGTTGGGGGATGGGTGAAATACGTGAAGGGGATTAAGAATACACTTATCATGATGAGCACTGAGTAATGTACAGTATTGTTGAATCACTATATCATACACCTGAAACTAATATAACACTGTATGTTAACTATACTGGAATGAAGATAAAAAGCTTAATAAAAAAAGTAAAAATAAATTTAAAATGCCAGCAAGCATGGATAATGATTGTCTTTTTAAAGTACTGGCTCTTGAACACTAGCTAAATATCAGAATCAACTGGGGAACTTTTAGAAAATATACTGGTACTCCAGTATATTCTCAAACCAATATTGTCAGGATCTATGGGATGAGGCATAGGGCTTCATGTATTTTTTATTTCTTGCACTGGTTTGAGAACCACAACCACTACTAGAGAATCTCAGGAACTTTTTTCCTCTCTAAATCGTAATCATTTCACATTTCTTCATCACATTTGAAATAGGAGGAACTAAAAAAAAAAATGGATGCCTCAGCTCCCCTCCCTAGGCAGACAGATTCAAATAGTCTGTGGAGTATGGACGAGTTACTCTGTCAAAGTATACCAGGTGACTGAAATGTGTAGCCAACATTGAGAACAATGACCTAGAAAGAACTTACAGGTTCTTGTAATAAAGATAAAGTGAATGCTACTATTCCACGGAAATTTTTCTGAACTGGAAATCACTGATTGTTTACCAATCTCTAATCTTTTAAAATAGCTAAATAAATTATTTAAGCACAGTTTCATGCACTATCAGTACATATTTGTACTAAGCATTTCCATGTTCTTGCCTATGGTCAGCTCATTCATTTCTTCTAATTTTCCTATTAAAATGTTATCTTCAAAATATACAAATCACAATTCTGCCTAATATATTTTGATTCAGTTACTTTATATACAAGGTGATTTCTATTTATAGAGACAATTTTCCTTCTTAATTAGAAAAACAAATCAAGTCTTAATTATAACCTCATTGTGGGGGAGAAATGGGCTTTAAAATGATTTCTTTTTGAGATGTGGTATATATATATACAATGGAATATTATGCAGCCATCAAAAGGAATGAGATCTTGTCATTTGCAATGACGTGGATGGAACTGGAGGATATCATGTTGAGTGAAATAAGTCAAAAAGAGAAAGACATGTATCATATGATCTCACTGATATGAGGAATTCTTAATTGCAGGAAACAAACAGGGTTGCTGGAGTGGGGGGTGGGGTGGGAGGGATGGGGTGACTGGGTGATAGACACTGGGGAGGGTATGTGCTCTGGTAAGCGCTGTGAATTATGCAAGACTGTTGAATCTCAGATCTGTACCTCTGAAACAAATAATGCAATATATGTTAAGAAAAAAAAAAGAAGAAGAAGAAGGTAGCGGGAGGGGAAGAATGAAGCGGGGGAAATAGGAGGGGTAGACGAACCATGAGAGACAATGGACTCTGAAAAACAAACTGAGGGTTCTAGAGGGGAGGGGGGTAGGAGGATGGGTTAGCCTGGTGGTGGGTATTGAGGAGGGCACATTCTGCATGGAGCACTGGGTGTTATGCATAAACAATGAATCATGGAACACTTCCTCTAAAACTAATGATGTAATGTATGGGGATTAACATAAGAATAAAAAAATAAAAATAAAAAAATAAATAAATAAAATGATTTCTTTTTGCTTAATTAAGCAGAGACCAGTCTTACATGTAAATATTCTTCTTTCCTGCAAGCTTTAGAGTTAATAATCTTAGCAGATTGGCAAAATAGACAAAGATTAGATAAATGGGGCTGTGGTCTCTACCAATCCTCAATAATGAAATCAGGTAGAGTTAAGAGTTTCAAGAAAAGGTTTGCCATAGGAAAAATAGAGTCTACATATGAAAAAGAGAAAACTTCTAATAACCAAATACAGTTGAACCTTGAACAATACAGGGGTTAGGGGCCCCAACCCCTGCCCCGCCCCAATGAAGTTGAAAATCCACATACAACTTTTGATTCCCCAAACATTTAACTACTAATAATAGTCCACTGTTGACTGAAGCATTACCAATAATATAAACAGTTAACACATACCTTGTTTGTCATATGTATTATGTACTATATTCTTAGAATAAAATAGAGAAAAGAAAACGTTATACCAAGCAAATCATAAGGAAGAGAAAATATATTTATGGTACTGTATTGTAAAAGAATCCACATATAGTGGGCTGGCATAGTTCAAACCCATGTTGTTCAAGGGTCAACTATATTTGATTAGAAATTTTCTCTTTTTTATGACCAAAACAAGGATATGACTGATACAACAACACACAAGGATTTTGAAAGTTCTGACCATTCCCTCTTCATGCTCCTACTTATTTGCATTATCTGAAGGCTGCTATTGATGGGTTCAAGAAAATACACGTAAGTGGTATATATTATGATGTGACAAATATAAAACATTAAAAAACCCATTATTTTATCTTTGCCTACAGTGAGCTTTCAAAGCTAATCACACACATCACAAAAGCTGACTTGTTTAAAGTCACTCTACTCTACTATATATGATAAACAAATTAAGAAAATAGTCAAGAAAACCTACCTTGAGAAATATCTTCTATAGCTCTTCGAATGCCTCTATCAAAAGCCCTAGCATCAGCAGGACTTTGAAAAGTAAGGCCAAATTTCTTGTCATCAATCTTCCAGTGGTGAAATGTTGGAGTGACCTTATTGTAAATGAGGTCTTTTTTAAGCATACATTCCAAAACCACCTGCCAAAAGTTAAATGCCAAAGATTACTATACATGTATCAAATAATCTAATGTAGCTCTTAAATACTAATTGAAGTGAGAATAAAAGCTATTATATTTCAGTAAATGCATTTCCCCCCACCATTAATATAGAGGTCTTGCTACTTAATCTACTTCATAAAGTCACTCAATACAGAAATTTTAAAATGGGATTAAAAAGAGGATTCTGGGAAGATGACAAAGTAAGAAGGAAACTTTCTCCCTACCTAGACAACAATTACACTGGCAGAATCTGTCTGATAGAACTATGTTGGGGGGGCGCCTGGGTGGCTCAGTCATTAGGCGTCTGCCTTCGGCTCAGGTCATGATCCCAGGGTCCTGGGATTGAGCCCCACATCAGGCTCCCTGCCCAGCAGGGGGCCTGCTTCTCCCTCTCCCACTCCCCCTACTTGTGTTCCCTCTCTCACTGTTTCTCTCTCTCCGTCAAATAAATAAATAAAATCTTAAAAAAAAAAAAGAACTATGTTGGAACTCCTTAGTCTGTTAGAAGGTTTGCAACTCCCAAGGGAAGACAAACACAGTAAACTGGGGTTAATTTTGGTCAATCTCAGCATTAGTACAGTAGCAGCTACCCACCTCCCATGGCAGGGAGTTAGGCACAACATGTTCCTGGAGCAGGTCGCACACAACTCACAGGAGCCAGAGTGGGTAAAAAGGACCCTGTCCTCCAAACATCGGTGATCTATGCTCTGATTACCAATGGCTAACTTTGATCAGAGAGGTGCAGACAAAGAGGAGGACAGCCATAATTGTTATACCTTCCCTTACTGTTGCAAGTCCCTCCTCAACAGAAGGAAGAGATGTCCAGGTTATTTAAAGGATCAGCATCCTTTTTTATCTATCATTTTTTACTTTTTCCCATTTTGGGTGCCAGACATTAAAGACTAGGACATTCAAAAACAATTACATTCCTGGGGAAAATTAGAAAGTTACTATTCATACCCAAGGAAATACTCAAAAAAGACATGAGAAGACCTAAATTTACACTTCAGGCAGATCCTCAGCACAGAGACAACTTACAACAATTTAAAGGAAAAAAAAAAGCAAAAAAGCAAATCTTGCGGAAGGGGGACAATCTGATTTCCAGAGTTACCACATAATTAGATTCATATGTTCAATGTTGAACAAAAAAGCTCAAGGCACACAAACAAACAGTAAATTCATTTTTTTTCCTTTTCCCACTGTAAGAAAAAAAGAAAATCAAGAGAAACTGTGCCTAAAAAAGGCATGGCAGATCCATTAGACCAAGGCTTAAAAAAACCATAAAACTGTCTTAAGGAGAAAGTTAAGAAAATAATGTACAAACAAAATGAAAGTATTAATAAAGAGATGCAAATAATGAATCATGGAACACTACATCAAAAACTCATGATGTACTGTATGGTGATTAACATAACATAATAATAAAAAAACATTGAATCAAAAATAAATAAATAAATAAAATTAAATTAAAAAAAAGAAAATCTAAAAAGAAACAAAGAAATTCTGGAGCTGAAAAGCACAATAAATGAAACAAAAAATTCACTACAGAGATTCAAAAGCAGATTTGAGCAGGCAGAAAAAGATATGTGAACTTGAAAATAGACAATAGACATTACTGAGTCTGAAGAACAAAAAGGAAAAGTTAAAGAAAAGCAAACAGCTTAAGGGACCCGTGGGACACCATCAAGAGGACCAACATAGGGGTGCCTGGGTGTTTTAGGTGGTTAAGCATAAGACTCTTGATTTGGGCTCTGTGATCTCAGGGTCATGAGATTGAGCCCTGTGTCAGGCTCTGCTCTCAGCATGGAGTCTGCCTGGGATTCTCTCTCCCTCTCCCTCTGCCCCTCTGCCCCGCGCCCCCCCAACCCCCCAAATAAATAAATCTTAAAAAAAAAAAAAGAATCAACACACATATTGTGGGAGCTACAGAAAGAAAAGGAAAAGGGGCCAAGAATATATATGAAGAAACAATAGTTTAAAACTTCATAAATTTGATGAAAGACATCAATATAAACATCTAAGAAGCTCAAAAAACTCCAAATAAGATGAATTCAAGAGAGCCACACATCAGACAAAGAGAGAATCTTGAAAGCAACATGACAAACGTGAACCGTCACATTCAAGGGATCCTAAAAAAGAATATTAGCAGATTTATCTTTAGAAACTTTGGGGGCCAGAAGATAGTGGACAGATATATTCAAAGTACTAAAAGAAAAAAAAAGTCAACCAAGAATCCTTTATCTGGCAAAACTGTCCTTCAAAAGTAGCATAGAAACTAAGACATTCCCAGATAAACAAAAGCTGAGAGAATGTTACTAGATCTGCCCTGCAAAAAAAGCTCAAGGAAATCCTACAAAGTGAAATGAAATAACACAAGACAGTAACTTGAAGCTGTATGGAGAAATAAAGATCTCAATAAAGGTAAGTGCATGAGTATTTTAAAAAGCAGTAAAATTTTAACACTGGTTTGTAACTGACACATAGTAAACCTTCAATAAATAGTAGTAATAATGGTGATCCACTAATCCACAATACAATAATTGCTACGAAAAACTAGATCATTATTTATAAGAAGAGACTTTTTTAATAAAGGAGGAGGAGAAATTTGAATTATAAATAAAAGCACTCAGGAGCTCAAAGAGCTTATGGATAGATTCTGAGAAGCTAAAGTTAACAGATTCTAAAGGCAGTGAAAAATTTCAACCTCCAGTGTTTTTCCTTCTTCTGGAAGAAATTCTAGAGTATTTTATAGAGAGGGGAAAAGGAAAATGCCACAGTCACTAAATAACTGCAACTTCTGAAGATATATTCCAAGCTATTTTGGGAAATATAGAGCAAAACTCCCATCATAAAATTACTGGACTGTTTGCCAGAAGTACTTAAAATAGACCAAGTCAAAAATGGGTACAAGTGCATTTTTGTTTCATTAATAACAACTAACAATTTGGGAGAGCAGAGTAACATTAAATATGTACTTTCAAACTACCATGTACTTTATTATAGTTGCTACCTTACAAATAGATAATTACATGTTTACAAATTGTATTATCTAAGAAGTAGTATAGTTGGTAACTAGACTTGAATGTTTTCACTAGTAACTTTCTGAAATATCTTTGACTCCAAGGAAAAATCATTTCACTTTTGAACTAAAAGTGCCAAATTCAAATTAGATTACTTCTAACCAAAATCAATAATTGGTATCTCAAACAGTTGCTTCACATTTAGTTTTCTGGATGATATAAAAGCTAGTATCCTTTATAAAGACACCAAGAAATATCAAACTGTATTATTATCAAATATATAATTTTACTATCTATTAATAAAAATTTGTCTTTAATGCTATGTTCTGAGCTGAGTTGGATTTTAGACATTTTTAAAAAGGAACAGAAGGAACAATGGCAGTGTTTCTCACATAACAGCAGTTCAGCTACAACAGAAGGGAGGGAGCCAGCACCCTTTAAATATATGTAGGTCATAAAGGAAAGACTGAGGAACTGCTCCAGATTAAAGGAGAATAAAGACATGTGAAATCCAAGTGCTATGTGATCTCATATGGAAGGTACAAAAATGTTATAAGAACACTATTAGGTCAGTTGAAAAAACTGGAATATGGACTGTAGATTAAAGTACCATATTATGTTAAACTTCCTAAATAGGATACTTAGACTGTGACTAAGAAGATATTCTAGTTCTTAGGAAAAATACACTGAGGTACTAAGAGGTAAAAGGCAGAATATATGCAATTTATTTCAAATAGTTCAGAAACAAGTGTGTGTGTGTGTGTGTGTGTGTGTGCGCGCGTACTGGGGGAGGGAGAGAGAATGACAAAACCAACATGGCAAAATGTTAAAAAATTGACATATTTGGGGAAAAAATTTGGTGTATTTGGGTAAAAGATGTACAGGAGATCTTATACTATTCTTGCTAAAAGTTGACTCTGCAAAGAAATGAAATGGATAAACAAAAAAGGCATAAATGCAAAATAAACAGGGCACCTAGGTAGCACTGTCAGTTAAGCATCAGACTCTTGGTTTCGGCTCAGGTCATGATCTCAGAGTCCTGAGATTGAGCCCCACCTCGGGCTCCATGCTCAGTGTGGAGTCTGCACAAGATTCTCTCTCCCAGAGGCACCTGGGTGGCTCAGTTGTTAAGCGTCTGCCTTTGGCTCAGGTCATGATCCCAGGGTTCTGGTATCGAGCCCCGCATTGGGCTCCCTGCTCCGCGGAAAGCCTGCTTCTCCCTCTCCCACTCCCCCTTGCTTGTGTTCCCTCTCTCACTGTGTCTCTGTCAAACAATAAATAAAATCTTTAAAAAAAAAAAAAAAAGATTCCCCTCTTTCCCTCAGTCCTGCCCTTCGCTCCCCTCTGCACACTCTTTCTCTAAAATAAATAGTTTTTTTAAAAGTACAAATAAACATTATTAGGAATGAAAGTGGAACAAAACTGAAAGCGCAGCAAAACTTTAGAAATAAGGAATGTAGTGTAAGATTTTATACCCCCAAATTTGAAAACGTAAGTGAAATAGCCAGTATCCTAGGAAAAAAAAAAAAAAAACTATAACTTAATCAATACCGATTGAAAAGTAAACAGAAAACCACTGGAGACCTATAACCATCAGAAAAACTGAATCAGTAGGAAGTAAAAATAAAAGTGGATAAGGGAATAGAAAATGAGATACGCTGTGATTCCTTCAGCACCTCTGAGAGATATAAAGACCATCATCAAGGAGACCATCCCCTGCAGAGAATTTAGAAGGGATTACTACCAGCAGAAATTGGAGAAAACTGTAGTCACTGACTTCTAATTAAGACACTGTTCTAACTCCTGGTGGCCGCACAAACAACAACATAAAATTCTTGGACACAGGCAATAACCCCTGCTTCCTTGCTTTGCTCTTTCCCAAGCTCCCATAGGCTGTTAGATCTCTGAATTGCTAGCTAAAACAAAACCTTAAACAATTCTCTTCTCCCTCTACTGGGT